CGTCCTGCGCGAGCCCCGCCTCCGCTGCGACTTTCTACGACGACCTCGAGGCCGATGGGCTCGAGGCTGAGCAAGCTGGCGCGGGTTTCATCTGCGTCTTCCTCCTCCTCTTCCTCGTCCTCCTCTTCCTCCCCCATCGATGGCTCCCCGCCCCGAACTCCATGTTGATTGGAAACGATTATATTGAATCGGGTTTTACATGTTCAAAACCGAATGTCCCCAATCCAAGTTGTTTTTGGATGCTGGTCCTGGGGCCTGCTTCCGCCCCCTTTCCCCTCCCGTCCTGCTGTTGCTCTTGGCGCGACCTACTATTACTATCACTACTAGCTACCAACTATTAATTTTCAATACAACTACTACTGCTACCACATCTACGGCTACTACTACTACTGATGCTGCTGCTGCTGCTGCTGCTACTACTACTACTACTACGACTACTAGTACTACTAGTACTACTACTGCTGCTGCTTGTTTTACTATTGCTAGAAGTACTATTTCTATTACTACGTCTATTGCTAACTCCTCCTCCTCCTTCTCCTACTCGTACTACTACTACTACGACTACTACTACTACTACTACTACCACTACTACTACTACTACTACTACTACTACTACTACTACTACTACTACTACTACTACTACTACTACTACTACTACTACTACTACTACTACTACTACTACTACTACTACTACTACTACTACTACTACTACTACTACTACTACTACTACTACTACTACTACTACTACTACTACTACTACTACTAGTACTACTACTAGTACTATACGACTACTTCTACGGGGTACTACTGCTACTATTATTATCTCTACTACTGCGGCTAACTACTACTACTACTATACTACTACTACTACTACTACTACTACTAGTACTACTAGTACTACTAGTACACCTACTACTACTACTACTACTACTACTACTACTACTACTACTACTACTACTACAACTACTACTACTACTACTACTACTACTACTACTACTACTACTACTACTACTACTACTACTACTACTACTACTACTACTACTACTACTACTACTACTACTACTACTACTACTACTACTACTACTACTACTACTACTACTACTACTACTACTACTACTACTACTACTACTACTACTACTACTACTACTACTACTACTACTACTACTACTACTACTACTACTACTACTACTACTACTACTACTACTACTACTACTACTACTACTACTACTACTACTACTACTACTACTACTACTACTACTATCAAATATCCACGCGATTCCCTTCCCGAGGAGCGACAGGCGGCTGCGGCCGCGCGCCGAGAGCTGGCAATCGCCGAGGGCTAGGCGCTGGGCCCGCGGGACTTCGAGCGCGGCGCCAAGCGAGGCTTCGGCCTCGGCGGCAGACCCGAAGGGGTGATCAAGCGCTGCAAGGGGGCGCGCGAGCCGCGAGCGGCCCCCGCGCGGCGTCGAGGCCCGCTGGCGCGGTCCAAGCTCCAGGTTGTTCCCAGCTGGAGCAAGCGCACCAGCGTGAATGGCGTCTTGAAGCTACCCCTCCTGCCCGGCGCCGCCGTGGCCAAGCTGTGCGAGAAGTGGCGGTGGAACCTCGAGACGGTCGCGAGATGGCGCGAGCTTCGGGCGGCCCTCAGGAGGAGGGTTGCCGCGGCGAGGCTCGGCAAGAACGGTCTCCGAGCGCGCGGGTGCGTCCGCCCTGGCCGCGGCTTTCGCGAGAGCGAGGGCGCCGGGCTCTCCCGCGGCGTGCCCGGTCTGGCCACCGCAAAGTACCCGCTCGAGGGTGTCGCGCGCCGCGCGGGGTGCCGGTCCAAGCGGGGGCGCGAGCGCGGCCGCGAGGTCAGGGGGGAGACGATCCCGGCGCGGGTGTGCTGCGAGCGGGAGTTTGAGCAGGACGAGCAGCTTCGCCTGAGATAGGCCGGGCACAAGAGTTACAATGCCAAGGTCCACAAGAGGGTTGCCGCGCGCCAGAAGACCTCCCAGATCAACCAGCAAGAAAGACCAGAAGTGGGCGGGCGAGCTCGCCGTGCCCAGGCCGCGCGCGAGCGGGCGCAGGGGCCGGCGCCTTTCCGATCGGGGGAACAAGACGCTCTGCAGGGAGAAGGCCGAGCTGACCTGGGCCGCGGCCGACAGGTTCCTGCGCCTGGTGTCAATGGGCGGCCTCGAGGACCTCAGCCTCTTCGCCGGGGTCCCCGGGGCCTTCGCCGAGCGTGGGCCCAAGGGGGCGCGGTCCGCGTCGACGCCGCAGCGCACTGGCTCAATCTCGGCGGCGAGGAGGCGGCGCGCGCCCGCGAGGGTGAGATCTACGCCGCCGGCGCCAAGAAACGCATCCAGAACCCCGCCGCAAGTTTCGCGAGACGCAGAGCCAGGATAACACGGCAGCTTTCGAGGCCGAGAAGACCAAGTTCTTGGCGGAACACCCCGACCAGAAGGAGCAAGTTGACCAGGCCTATTCGAGCGCATGGGACAACTGCAGGTTCACCCCCATCGGGCCGTCGAGGGCTGGTTCGACCCGAGCAGGGGCCCGGGTCTGCGCGGAAACGCGGCGTGCTCCTCGCCCCTTGTGCCAATCGCTGCCGAGTGAGCGACGTGGGCCTCGGGGGGGGGCACTCGGTGTCCGCGATGTCGCCTGCGAGCGGTGCGACGGGGGAGCGGGGCGCGCCCGAGCAGGCGATCCCCTGGGCGCAGTGCTCATGGGATGGCGCAGCGCTCTCCTCGATCTCTCCGAGGAGGACCGCGCGAGGCTCTTCGGGGCCATCGACGCGTGGGGGTAGCCGAAGGCCTGGGCGGACGAACTCATATGTGTGTATGTATGCATGCATGCATGCATGTATGGATGTATATTTGTTCTATGTGTGTGTGTGTGCGTGTGCGCGTGTGCGCGTGTGTGTGTGTGTGTGTGTGTGTGTGTTGGTGTGGTGTGGTGTGGTGTGGTGTGGTGTGGTGTGGTGTGGTGTGGTGTGGTGTTGGGTGTTGGGTGTGGTGTGGTGTGGTGTGTGGTGTGTGGTGTGTGGTGTGTGGTGTGTGTTGTGTGTTGTGTTGTGTTGTGTGGTGTGGTGTGGTGTGGTGTGGTGGGAGATCACCGCGTGCCACGCCACCCCCAACGCAACCCGAAGGCCCAAATTTGTTCTCCACGCCCAGCGGAGGGGGGGCGTCGGGGAACAGTGAAAAAACGCATGTGGAACCCGTGCCCCCCCCCCCACGCCGAAATTTCGGTCATCGGGTTGGGTTGTGTGTTTGGTAGGTAGTCAGGAGGGGAGGAGGAGCAGGGAGGAGTGAGGGAGGGAGGGAAGGAGGGATAGAGGAGGAGGAAAAGGAGGAGGAGGATGAGGATGATAATGAGGAGGAGGGAGAGGGGTGACGAGGCGAGGGATGGGAGCGGGGAGGGGACAGGTGTGTATTGATGCACTCCTGCCTTGACGCACGGACATCTCCACGAAGCGAGGAAGAGGACGAGGAGGAGGATGAAATGGAGGAGGAGGAGGAGGAGGAGGAGGAGGAGGAGGAGGAAGAGGAGGAGGATGATGATGAGGAGAGGAGAGGAGGAGGAGGAGGAGGAGGAAGAGGAGGAGAGGAGAGGAGGAGGCGGAGGAGGAGGAGGAGGAGGAGGCGAAGGAGGAGGAGGAGGAGGAGCAGAGGAGGGAGGATTGAAAGGAGGAGGAGCAGGATTAAAAGGAGGAGGAGGAGAGGAGAGGAGAGGAGGAAGGAGAGGAGGAGGAGGAGGAGGAAAAGGAGGAGGAGGAGGAGGAGGAGGAGGAGGAAAGAGGACAAGGAGGTGTGTATTGATTTGTTTCAGTCTTGACGCACGGACGTCTCGACGCAGTGACGTCTTGCCTCCCTTCATGTCGTGCTGCCTCGATACCTTGATGCGTCACGCCCAGATGCATTGTCGCTTTGTTGGATGGGTCTCGTTTTTTTCCGGTTTTTTTCCGACCCCAGCCCCCGAAACCCCGACTTCAGTTTCCAAGTGGCTGATGTGTGCCGTTCATCTTCGACGCCCTCCGGCTCCCATTTCCGAGCGCCTACGGATGAGCGGATGGTGGGTCTCATTTGTACGATCATCTCATTCGGCGCTGTGGCGCCACCGCCAGGCTCTTGCAGGGCCGCCCCCCCGAGGGTGACAGACTGGCGCGTCGCCTCGCCTCGCCAAGTGCACTGATGGTTTGATACGTTGACGTCTTGACGCGTTGATGGCATAGCCTCGGCCTCTCCCCATCCATTTTTTTGGGGGGGTTGGGGGGTTGGGGGGGTGGGAACGCTGGGACCCATCACATTTGTTTGGGGACGTGTCAGAAAGACCCTTGGACCGTGGACCGTATGTACCTGTGATTCCGATGACCTTTCTGCGCTTTCCCCTTTGTGGGCTTTCTGGGACACCCCCGTCGTCACGGCTGGATGCGCTTCGGCATCCTAGTCATGACGCAGCAATGAGTCCCCGGGATTAGCGATATCGGTTCCCAAGTGACACGTGTCTTGAAGCACGCCGTAGTCGAATAACAGCCACTTGGAACTTCAGGGGAGCCGAGGAGCCACTGTCGGCCTATTATGTCTCACGTCTCCAGCTGCCCGCGGCAAACTCTGTCACCGTGCTGGCGCAGCCGTGCAGCGGGGAGGAGATTGAGTTTAAGACCCGCTCCAGTTCAGTGCCCCGTCTGAGTTGGAGCGGGTGTCAAACAATTCTCGCCTTGTTCTCAGCCTCATGTTCTTCCTTCTCCTCCTGCCTTCTCCTCACTTCTTCTCGCCGCCGCCCCTTTGTCTCCTTCTCCTCCTCCTCCACCTTTTTTCCACCCTCCTTCCCAAAGAGCACCTAGAACACATCGGGGAATGTACGCCTTCGATCGCATCAGAGCACAGGCGCGTGCGCGCGCGCTTGCTCTTCCGTTTGCTAGTTTACGGACGCGAGCGCGCGCGTCGTCCGATGATCAGCGTAGAACGCGCTTGATCCTTACTTCCCAGAAGTCAAGTTCGCCTTCCGAGGGCTGATAGTCACCCATGCGCGCGCCCCGCGACAACCGCGTGTATTTCCGCGTGGACGCGCGCCCAGGCGATTCAGACTGGATGGTCGGGCGCCAGACATGGAACCTTGGCTCGGAGAACAGTTGGCCAGCCGTTGTCCTATGCCAGGTTCCATTTTTTATCACAATGCTCCTGGGTCGTCGGCTTGTTGATTCCACCCGCGAGAGCCTCAACACTCACCAAGTGTGTGTCACCTGGGTTGTCCAAACGCGCCTTGTAGGGAAACGCAGTGTCCGCGCAGTAAACACGCAGTGAGCACTCAGTGAACATGCACCGACTGTGGTACATCATATGGCCCGATGTGAACCAAATGGAGTTCAAGAAGCTTGTATCTTCAGACGTTCTTTTCAATGGATTTCGCATGGGCTGTGGCCACTCTGAAATTTTCCGCACTTGGTGCGTGTCCATTAACTTGCTCACTGCTTGCTCACTGTGTGCTGGCTGTAGTTTTATTTCATGGTGCGCAAAAAAGGAGAGTCCTGCTCGCGAAGGTGGCCGTTGGGATTAGCACGAGGGGGCCATCATCACATCATGCACGAATGCAAATTCTACTTAGCCGAAGAACGCGAGTACATCGGCAAATGTACGCGCCTTCGAATGCACCAGTGCACCGGCGCGTGCGCCTCCGTTTGCAAGGTTGAGAACGCCCGTGTGCGCGTCGTCCGTTGTGCGGCGCAAATGGCGCGTGACCTTCCATGTTGAATGAGCATTTTGTTGTTGCGGTCGCCCCCTTCGGCCTCCCCAATTTATTAGTCTTCGGGGGCGCGGTGCGTTGTTCTGGCCGCTCGATTGGCCTGAGCATTGCGTTCTGCCGACAAGATCTATCAATATTGAATCGAGGGCAGGGGGTGCGTGTCCACGTTTGCCCAGGTACCTCTTTCGCGCTGGCGGTGCAGGATTTTGTCAATTAGCCCGCTCAGCCGATTCAGCACGGATGACAGCGCGCTAGCAGTGCAAGGATGCAAATGCCAAGCATCCAGGCGGACGCGTAGGCAATTTAGGGTGCATTATGGCAAGCTGGCGAGGCGACAGGAAACTGTTAGATCTGCTCAGACATGTTGCGACACATTGAAAACTGAAGATGCCCACTGTAGTCTCGGTCGTCCGCGCCTGCGCTTGCGAGCTCAATTTTTCGGCGACGCGTCGCCATTGCAGACAATTCGCCTCGCCAAAGACGTAGGTCCATGCGCTAGCAGTGTGAACTTTAATTGGAAGACGACTGTACTACTAGGATTCGTATTCGTAGTATTCCTAACCATCGATTTGGCTGTGACCGCTACGATGTTTCCCTTTCTGCTATTATTACTGCTACATTCCTGCTACTACTCCGACTCATGGTCCTGCTCCTGCTGCAGCTCCTCCCAAGCCTCCTCGTTACCCTCTCCCCCATCCTCCCCCTCATGATGCTCGTTCGTTTCCTCCTCCTGCGTTCTCCTTAGCCGTTTTGGCTCCAGACGCATCTCTCGCTGCGCTGTTCAGAAGCCAGGCGAAGGCTGGCAAACGCGTGGCTGCTAAAACGGAGCTCCGGGAAATTGATTCTCTTCTCCGGTAAGCAGCCCGTTTACTATTTAGTGCGTTGAGCTTTATTCCGGGAAGCTGTCTTTTTTGTTCCGGGGAGACCGTTCTAGCAGCCACGGACTTAACAGCCGTCGCCCAGTTTCCGAGCTGTGCCAGTGAATTTTCAGGGCGCACGGACCGGAGGGCCAAGCATGCCTTCCCGATCTCACTCAGCTCGGAGGGCGCCAACCACATACCTGCACCGATCCTGGTCGGGCCGATCTTGGGCCCAGCATCGGTGTGTAAGCTCCTTCTCCTCCTCCTCCTCCTTCTCCTCCTCCTCCTCCTCTTCCTCCTCCTCCTTCTCCTCCTTCTCCTCCTCTTCCTCCTCCTCCTCCTCCTCCTCCTCCTCCCTCTCCTCCCCCTCCTCCCCTTCCTGCCCCTCCTGGCCAAGTCAGGAGGGCGTACACCTCGATCCTGGGCCCAGGCTTCGGGTGTTGCCAAAGGTGTCCCTGGCCCAAGGTGCCCCCAGGATCTCCGGGGAGGCTCAGGTGGCCTCCAGAGCACCCCTTCCGATGCCCAGGGGGGCCCCGACAAGGACACAGCCAGGCGCCTGCCTATAGGACGGCGCCTCGGCATGATGGGGACAATGACGCATTCTGATCTACGCCTCCGTGTGCGGCATTCACTTGTACGCGCGTTGGGCCCACTGCAGCCTTGGGCGGCCGCGCTTTCAGTGCACGCGCCACTGCCTGGGACTCCTCCCTCCTGGCTCACATACAAAGTGGCGCGAAAAGTTTGGGGCGTCTGGGGAACAACAATCCAGGCACGGTGGCGGGATGGGCCGAAGGCCACCAGAAGGTGGCGGGATGGGCGAAGGCCGCCAGATCCGCAGCCCCCTGTGGTCTGGCCAAAGTGGTGCCTGGCGTGCTAAACCCTACCGCTTTTGGTTTTGGTTTTTTCCCAAAGAACTTTCCCTGGGATTTCGGCCCGTCCCGCTGGCCACCTGGAAGGCTCCCGGCTTGGTGGCTCCAAAGGTTTCTCCTGTTCCAGATGGCTCTAAGATGGTCTCCAAGGCGGACAAGATGGCCCGAGATGGCTCCCCAGGCGGCTAAGATGTCTTCCAAGGTCGCCCAAGATGGTCCAAGATGGCCTCCAAGACGGCCCGAGAGGGTCCCAGATGCCGCCAAGTCTGCCCAAGAAGCCTCCACGACGGCCCACGGCGGCCCAAGAGGCCCACAAAACGCCTCCAAGACGTTTTCCAGGAGGGCCCGAAGAGGCCAGCATCATAAGGATGTTGGCATTTGCTTTTTTCCGGCCTTCCGACGGCTCTAAACAGCCCAAGAGCTTCCCAAGATCGCCCCAAGATCGCCCAAGAGGCCTCCAAGATGACCGCACGACGGCCCAAGAGGCCCCCAAGACGGCCCCAAGAGGGCCCCAAGACGGCCCAAGAGGCTTCCAAGACGCTCAAGATGGTCTCCAAGACGGCCCCATGTCGGTTCAGAGAGGCCCCAAAGACGGCTTCCGACGGCGTCAGACAGGCCAGGAACGCCCCAAGATGGCCAAAGAGGTCCCCAGAATTTCCCAGAGGCCGCCGAGAGGCCCAAGGAGACCCTCAAGAGGCTTTCAAGAGGCCCCAATGACGCTTCCAGGAGGCCCCAAGGGCATGAGCTGATTTCGACGGCGCTGGTTTCGCCGGCGCTGGTTTCGCCCCTCTGGTTTCGCCGACGGCTGGTTTCGCCAGCGCTGGTTTCGCCAGCGCTGGTTTCGCCCCGCTGGTTTCGCCCCGCTGGTTTCGCCGGCGGCTGGTGTCGCCGGCGCTGGTTTCGCCGGCGCTGGTTTTGCCGACGCCGTCGTCGCCGTCGCCGTCGGCGTCGCCGCCGCCGCCGCCGCCGTCGCCGTCATCGGCGTCGTCGTCGTCGTCGTCGTCGTCGTCGTCGTCGTCGGGCGTCGGGCGTCGGGCGTCGGACCCGAGCGGGCGGGTCGGGTCGGGCGGGTGGACCCTAGCGGGCGGGTCGGGTCGGGTCGGGCGGGCAGACCCTAACAGGCGGGTCGGGTCGGGCGGGCGGGACAATAAAGTGTGGGGAGCGCTCGACCGGGCACGCGCGAACCTTAATGGGCGGGTCGGGTCGGGCGGGCGGACCCTGGCGGGCGGGTCGGGTCGGGTCGGGCGGGCGGACCCTAACAGGCGGGTCGGGTCGGGCGGGCGGACCCAAACGGGCGGGTCGGGTTGGGCGGGCGGGACATGAAAGTGTGGTGGAGCGCGCTCGACCGAGCACGCGCGAACACTAACGGGCGGGTCGGGTCGGGCGGGCGGACACTAGCGGGCGTGTCGGATAGGGCAGTTTCGCCGACTGCAGCGAGTTTCGCCGACGGCAGCCGGTTTCGCCGACGGCAGCTGGTTTCGCCGACGGCGGCTGGTTTCGCCGACGGCAGTCGGTTTCGCCCGGCGGCGAAACCAGCCGGGCGAAGCCAGCCGGGCGAAACAAGCCAGCGGTTGCCGCCCCAAGGGGTCTCCAAGGGGCTCCCAAGAGCCGTCCTCCTTCTCCTCCTCCTTCTTCTCCTCCTCCTCCTCTTCCCCCGTGGCCATTTTGGCTCAAGGCTGAACGTTATGAAGGGCTATAGACGCCCGAGAATCAGCGATTAGCTTTGGCTGCATCCGTGGCCAAGGTTCGAGAGGTTCTGGAACGCAGGGCTCCAGGGCAGCATCGCGATGCTCCGTTCTATCCCCATCCCCAGGCTCGCCCGCCCCAGCAGTGTATCGACATTGCTTCTCATCATCGTTATTTGGTCTGTTCCAAAGCTGGTTGCAAGGGTTGGGAGTGGGCAAGCGCCAAAGCTTGTTCCCGCTGTGGTACGTCTCTCGAGCAGCAGCCTTCCTCGTCGGGCAACCGAGGATCTAGCAGGCCCCCGTCCCGACCGCCACGCCGCCATCGGGAAGGCCACCAGCAGCGCATTCGTTTCGAGCCAGACGACAACGCCACCGACGAACAGGAGCCAGCCAACAGCCCCAAGGCGCCAGACCCAGTGTCTCCTTCGCAGGCCCAGGTCACATTCTGGCGCAAGTGGGTTGGAGTGCAGGGCAAATCATATAACGATGCTTTGGAGGTTCTCAAACATGCAAAGTTGGAGGCCATCCGCGGCAAGAGCCTGGGCCAGCAGACTCAATCAATCGTTCAGTGGGCAGATCACTACCAGCAATGCGAAGCTCGAGGACCTCGAAGCTGACCTCCAGGACACCGCAGCTCAGATCTCCACCTTGGCCGCCTCGTACCAGAGCCGCACGAAGGAGATTGCAGACGCCGAGGAGGAGCTTCAGATGTTGGAGGCCCAGCGCGCCTTGGCAGCGTCAGCAGCAGCGCAGGAGGCCACGGCCCAGAGCGACATCTCCAACTTGGTGTGCGCGGCGCTGCAGGCAAGGATCCCCTCTGGTGGTGTGCCCCCTCCCGAGCCCCAGCAGAAAGTTCAGTCCCTGGCAGATGCCTTCGACGAGCTCCAGCAACGGCGCGACCATGCCGTGGCAGCGCAGGCAGCGATGCCCTCGGCCCAAGCAGCGGCAGTCACGCCTAGGCAGCAGCAGCCACCGCCGTCGGCGAAGGCGGCCTGGCTCCAGACACCGCCGCTGTTCGCAGCAGTAGCAGCACCCCAGCCAGAGTCCTCGCAGTACATCCCTGTCGAACCTGATTCGGAGGAGGAGGATGAGGCGATGTCCTTCGTGGGTTTCGGCTGCGGGGGCAAGCGCGCAGCAGACGCGCTCTCGGAGGTGGCGCAGCTCATGGAGGAAAACGCCGACACCGAGACCGCCAAGCAGATCAAGGAGGCCGTCGCCACAGCAGGTGGCGCGACCCAGGCAGACCAGTCCAGCCTTTGACCTGAAGGTGGTAGCGTTCAATGGAAGCTGTTGGAACACCTTCGAGCATTTCCTAGAGTCAGATTGGGCCACTGACGTGACGGTGATTTGTGTTCAAGAACACAGACTCACTGATGGGGACGTTATTGCTCAGAAGATTCAGTGGTGCCAGCGACGGGGCCGGCTTGCTCGCGTCCCGCCTGCTGCAGTGAACGAGGATTCCGGTCGCATCGACGGGGCTGCCATCGTCATCAGAGACCAGCTCGACCTCGGGATCGAGCAAATGTTTTTCTTTGCATCGGTCGACCCCGGCCGCCTGACGGGCGTCCGCCTAGAAGCGCCAGGTCTTCCCAAGGTGGGTATTTTGCGCGCGTGCTTCACATCGTCGGAAGGTCTAGGCGAGGCTAACCTAGGCCGGTTAGCAGACATCGCAGTTCAGCAGGAGCTCAGCAAGATCCCCATCATTGTCGCTGCGGGCTTCAATATGCCCTCCAATCAGATCGAAGGCGCAGACTTCCTCCACAGGGCCTCGCTCCGTTTGGTTACCCCAGAGGCCCCCGCGTGCCGAAAGTCCAAATCGCGAAGCATCCCGGACTATTCCCTGATCGGCCGTGCCCTCAGGGAGAAGATCGACGAGGTCCAAACGTGGACCAGCTATCCTTTGTCGCCGCGCAGGCCAGTCTGCCCAGACGTTCAATGCCGCAGTAATTTCCCGATTCCTGCGGTGAAGAGGCCGCGGAGGTTACCTTCGGCAGCGCCGATCGGGCCCCGGCAGCGCCCGCGCAAGAGGGTGCGTACCCAGGCCGCTCTACAGTGTGCCGACTCCTTGCTTACCGATGCCGTCAAGCCTCTCGAAAAGCAGCAGCAGCAGTCGATCTTCGATTTCTGTTACGTCGCCGTCGTTCACGAAATCGAAAATCGATCAGCAGCATCACCGATGCCCCGCTTCGGCGCTCGTCGGACCCCCGAGCGAGCCCTCCCGATATCAAGTGGGCCAGAGCTAAGCAGAAGGAAAATCGGACCAGAACCTGTTGGAGATCCCTGGGGGGCCCGTGCAGATGGCTTCAAAACAGACCTGTCGACATCAATATTGCCGTCGGCAAGCTGGACTTTCCGCGGGCGACGTATCTGACCGCGAGCCTGCAGGACCTACCAGGAGAGTTTCGCGCTGTCCTAAGCCTGAATGACAGCCTGGCCGTTGCCAACGGCCTATGCGACCTGTTGCGCACAGGCGCTGGAGTAGGAGTCCTATCCGCGGGCGCAGCCGACCAAGCGATGGGCGCCATCCCCTAGGACCTGGACAACGACATCGAGTACGAGCGTGCGAATAATTTTTCAGAAGCGTCCACATCCTGGGCTTCGTGGGTCCAAACATCTCTCCAGGGGAGTGTCGGCTGAGTCCATGGATGGACAAGGCGCCATGGCGCTTGGGGGCCAGCCGCCACCTTTGCCAGTGGCAAGTGGTCAGGGCGACCCAGCAGCATTCTTGAAGGTGAATCTGAACGGCTGGCGAATTTTTGGGACACTACCTCGGAACCGCAAGTTTCTCCGATTCCAAGGGACATCGACGATAGGGTAGCCTGGGGCCCACGTCGGGCCAGCTAATCCACTGCGCCGCCAACAGCTTCGCCGCGAGTGCGGCTTCCACGTGGGGCAGAGTCCACCATGGGCACCTCGCCCTGATCACAGAGCAGTAGGCGGACCTGATCGCACAGCTGCCCCTGATGATTGAAAAGGCTCGGCTTCGTGCCTTCTCATATACAGGCCATAATTTCGGTGTTCATCATGAAACGCAAGCAGCAGTGCCCATCAGCCACAAGAACCAGCGATGCGCTATATTGGGATGCTGTGGGGCCTGCACCGAGTGTGGGCTAGAATCAGCCGCGCGAGAATGGGGGGGGCAGCGCAGGAGGCCGTTTTTAGCTCATCAAGCAGACCACTCCATAGTCGAGCTCGTTTTCAAGCAAAGCTCAGATTGCGAATGCTACAGCAAGCGAAATGAGCAGTTATTTTCCGGAATGATCATAGCAACTACTATGAGCAGATTAACCGCAGCAAGCTTGCAACCAGAGCATTATGGGCTTCCAGCTACTCTACTTAGGATCATCTTCAGCATCTACGCTAGCCCCAGGTTCGTCGCCCTCGAGGACTTGGTCGTTTCGGTCGGTAACACAGTGCATGGGATAACGGCAGGAAATGGGCTTGCTACGTACCTCATACAGGTGTGCACCATAGACCCCCTCGGCTCCTGGACCAAGCAGAACCCCGATTTAGACCTCCACAGGTTCATAGACGACCTCCTCATTAAATTGCACTCGGCCCACATGAATAATGCCATCCTGCGGCCATAGTGGGGGTCGGGGGGCCTCGTCCAGCGCATCCAGCGGGATCTAGACAGCTCGTTCGCCCCCGCCAAGACTTAGATGCTAGCTTTCCGCGCAAAGTTGCGCAAGGGTCTCAAGCGCTAGCTTCGAGATCGAGCAGGCGCGTCGCTGGACATCTCGGGCCCCGGCCTCGGCTGCGAGATCGCCGCAGGAGTTCCCCGGCGCCGATGGAGAAAGGGCCGCCTCGCCACCGCTAGGATGAACGCGATCAAGAGAAGGATGAGGGCAGGAGGAGACGCCAAGAAGGTCTACAACACAGGCATCTTCGCGGCAACATCGTTCGGTCATCAAGTCACAAGCCCCAGCGACGCGCAGCTAATTGTCGCCCGACAGCAGTATCGAAAATTAGCGGGGCCCAAATGTGCCACCTGAAGCAGAACCCTCAGCTTGATTTTCGTTGGAGACCCTACTTGGCAGATGGCCTTGGGTCCTGCTCTGGTCTGGCATTTAAGGGTGTGGACGGCCGCCGCCAATCGAGGACAAGGGCTTGCTACCTTGCCTTGGCTTCGGGCCCGCGGAGAGGCCCTTATGGGCCAAGCCCCTTCCCGCTGGGGCAGCATGCGCGGGCCGTTCGGTGCCGTGTCGTTACCCTTGCGACGTCTTGGATGGAAGTTGGCCTCCCCGCTTGTCTTTCAGAGCAGAGAAGACCACGACTGCCCTCTCACCTGCTTTTCCCCAGGTTTTGCGCGCAGCCTTTTTCGTCGGGACTGAGAGAAGCAGCTTGCTGAAACCGCGGCCACAGAGTCCGACCACCCTAGGTCCATTTCTCGACTCCAGAGTCGCCTCCAGAGTTTTTGCCAGCCCGACCCTCAGCAGGCAGGAGAGGGGCAGTTTGTTAACTTTTCTCGCGCGAGGCTGCTGGGCGAAGGCCAGAGCCAAATACGCAGGATGCATCGTGGAATGCGCGTGCGAGTGCGGGGCCCCCACGGGCTCCACTAGACGCCGTCTGTTTGCCGGTCGCCGAGCCCAACAGGGGGGGGCTCAAGCCTTTTCGACCGAAGAGCTGGAGTCGAATGTCAATTCTGACAGCGACCCGCTCGAGTTCGGATACCAACAGGCGCCGGACTTTGACATCGGAGCTCCCGAGGGCACAGGGTTAAGCTGTTGCGATTTTTGGTGCAGGGATCCTTTCTGCGCTCTAGAGAAAGCTTGTGATGGGCAGGTGTATGTGGGCGGCAGCAGCGACCCGCCCCGTCGCTCACATTCGCGCGCCGCAGGCTGGGCAGTTGTGTCCATGGAAGAAGGAGAACCCCGCGCCATCCTCACAGGCCAAGTGGGTCGAATCTATCCCCAAGGCTCAGGGGTGGCGGAGATGCTGGCAACAGTCGCAGCCTGCTCCATGTGGCCATAAGTACAGAGTTTACGCGGATTGCTTATGTGCATGCAGGCTTCGAGGTTCGGATGGGCAGAGCTGTTGTGTCGCCCGAGCGTTGTCTGGTCAAAGTCAAAGTCCATCAGAACCTTCGCCATAACTATTTTAGTGATCGAGAAGAGTTCAACCACGCCAAAGGTAACGATGCGGCAGACCAAGCGGCCAAGAGAGCTGCCATGAAGTTCTGCAGGCCATCGGAGGCCGAGCGGGAGTTGGCCAAGTACGACGAAAGCCTCCTGCGCCGTTTCTTGTTCTTGGTCGCGAAGATTTTACCCAAGTGGCTTGCTCTGGCCCCCCGCCCAGGGAAGAAAGCCCTTGCTAAACCGCAGAGTAGAAACCCACCGATGGGGGCAGCCTCCGCAGCCTGCGCCCGGGAACCTGGGGCCGCCCCCCTCCTCCGAGGCCCCCCCCGCCCCTGCCTCTGAGGAAGCGGGAGAAACCCATCGATGGGAGTTTATCAATGGCCGCCACTTTTGTACACTGTGCCGTTCTGCAGCCAAGAATGATGCCCAGTATCGCATCAGACGGCCTGAACGATGCCCTGGATATTGTGTTGGCCTGGCCTCTCTTGAGTACCTGCTCAAGTCGAGCACGGTCATAATGTGTTTCGACTGCGGCTCGTATTCCAAAACGCGATCCAGGGGCCTGCTGTTCCGAGAGTGCCTTCGAGCGCCACAGTCGAACAATGCCATCGCGCCACTGGCTCGCGCGGTGGCGCTGGCACATCCGAGGATGGGACCTCGTGCCTGCCGAGTCTTTCGCCCGCCAGTGCCTCTCGAACTTTTCTACCGCCAAGCGTTGGCGGCCGCCGTTGCTCCCAGCACATCGCCAGAGGAGTACAGACCCCCAGATGGTCGAGCGGATTTCAGATTC